GTATGTGTGGCATACAATAATGGCATGTGTGGCATGTGTGGAGTGCTTTGTTAGTTGCCCCAAGTCCCTTTGGGGAGATGGTGGCAGGGTACAAATAAAGATATTATTATTATTATTATTATTATTATTATTATTATTATTATTATTATTACATTGTTGAACTTCAGCTATCAGAACCCCTCACCATTGGACTTTCTGGTTGGGTCCAATATCAAAAGCCTACTGCATCTGTTCAGAACCCATGCCTTTATTGCTAGGGCAAATTCCTTGACTTTATCTAAGTTTGTTTTTGGCACTTATCCCAGATATTTCTGTAACAATTGACTATAGTGAAACTGCCACTTGATCTTATAACTTCCCAAATAACCATAGCTATGAAAGGGCAGAGTCATGTAAATGAAGCCGGCAACGTTTCCAAAAGGCAAGGCATTCTTTTTGGTTCTCACTAAGTGACAAAATTAGAGAAGGAAACATATCAGTTCATAATAGATAATCACAGCTTGACTTTAGTTAGGCAAACTGAAGTCACTGCATATGTCGTTGCACATCCATAACAGCTGGTTCCGCAATACAAGCCTAGCTACTTATCCTTCTTTTGCTCTTTATTTTACTACAGTGATATAGAAGCTGTGCTGTATTCATTGATTCTTTTCATTTACAATTTTTGAAAGTTAATTACATTAAAACCAGATATCTTTATTCTTGGGATTTTTGAGAAAGATTCTACATTAGAAAAAGAGCATGGAAAGTTAATACGGCATATGGCGACAGCAGCACTTGTTCCTATAGCTCAGATGTTGGAAGGTGGAGAATTAAAAATTCACGATCCTCCCGTCTTGACTCCTTTAACTTTCCAGCCAAATTATGCTTACTCTTCCTAAAACAGTAGCTAACATACCACTAGCAGGAAAAGTGTGATTTCAGCAATGATTGAAACTGCAGCACAGGCCTGGATATAGGAAATATGAAGGTTATCCAGGGACATGCAGGACTAGCCAGAAAGTTGGGATTTAGTTCTCAGGCTCAGCTCCGGATTCAGGTCTAATTGACTGTGGTGAATGTGTATGCATTTGTATGCATATGTTCACTGTTTGATTTTCTCCTTCCCTTGCAGACTACAAAGCCATTGTTTGTAACCAGGTTTAGGCATGTGCCTCTTGACTTTAATATATATTACTTGTCTATGTTCTTTTAACCTGGTATTTTACCTTGTTTATGTATAATGAGTCTATTTATATATTTCGATGGTTGTATATGTTGCATTTAATATATTGTTGTTCCCCAAATTGATCCATAGGGAGAGGGGGACAAACAACAACAGCAACAAGAACACATTTCCTTTTTTGAGTCTCAAAACCTTGATCCATTTTTCTTGTATGTTATTTATTTATATATTCTGCTGAATGTTCGATTGGGGCTGATCTAATGTCCCTGGGAAGGGTGTTCCACAACCGAGGGACCACTATTGAGAAGGCCTGTCTCTCGTCCCTGCCAGGGCATCCCCAAACAAACTCTTAGATGGATCATAGAGAGAGATATGTTCGGACAGGTAAGCTGAGTCGGATTTATTTAGAGCTTTATAGGCTAAAGCCAGTACTTTGAATTGTGCCTGGTAAGAAACTGGCAGCCAGTGGAGTTGGCATAATAGGGGAGATGTATGCTCTCTGAACGCCACTCTGGTGAGCAATCTGGCTGCCACCCGTTGGACCATTTGAAGCTTTCGAACAGTCTTCAAAGGCAACCTTACATAGAGTGCATTGCAGTGGTCTATATGGGATGTAACGAGAGTGTGGACTGCCATGGCCAAGTCAGACATAACAAGGTTAGTACACAGCAAACAAGATGATGGTGATGATGATGATGATGATATTGATAATTATTATTTTACTGACACAAAAGCACAGTATATCACAGCAAATGAGATCTATATGCTGGATTTCGTATCACAAAATCACAAGTTGAACACTTCCCAAGCCTCTAGGACTGTGTGATGTATTTTTGAATGAAGCGTGCAGATCCAAGTAAGGTGGCCTTTTGCAGCTGACAGATTGTGATTTTGTCGATGTTTATTGTTTCAAATGCCGGCTGAGATCTTTTGGCATGGCACCCAGTGTGCCAATGACCACTGGGACCACCTGTACTGGTTTATGCCAGAGCCTTTGCAGTTCGATTTTGAAGTCTTGATAGCGGCTGAGTTTTTCCTGTTGTTTTTCCTCAATGCGACTGTCACCTGGTATGGCGACATCAATAATCCAGACTTTTTTCTTTTCCACAATCGTGATGTCTGGTGTATTGTGTTCCAAAACTTTGTCAGTCTGGATTCGAAAGTCCCACAGTATTTTTGCATGTTCATTTTCCACTACCTTTGCAGGTTTATGATCCCACCAATTCTTTACTGCTGGCAGGTGGTACTTGTGAATCATTTGGGCCACAGAGTTGTGCCTTTGTTTGTAGTCCGTCTGTGATTTTCTTGCAACAGCTGAGGATATGATCCATGGTTTCATCAGCTTCCTTGCACAGTCTGCATTTTGGGTCATCTGCTGATTTTTCAATCCTGGCCTTAATGGCATTTGTTCTGATGTTCCTCCTCCTCTCGGGTTAGGCACCTCCAAATGGAGAGGAGGAGGAGGAAGTCCCTGGAGGAGAGGGGGGGGGGGAGACCTCGCTGCTGCTGCCACTGTTCCTGCTCTGTGCCACCCTCCTCTTCTCGCCCCCTTCGAGGCCTTGCCTTGCCTCGACGGGGGCAAGAAGAGGGTGGCCCAGAGCAGCAGCAGCGGGGTCTTCCCCCCTTCTCCTCTGGGCTCTTCCTCCTCCTCCTCTCGGTTTAAGCACCACCAAATGGAGAGGAGGAGGAGGAAGACCCTGGAGGAGAGGGGGGGGGGGGAGAGACCTCGCTGCTGCTGCTCCTGCTCTGTGCCACCCTCCTCTTCTCGCCCCCTTCGAGGCCTTGCCTTGCCTCGACGGGGGCAAGAAGAGGGTGGCCCAGAGCAGCAGCAGCGGGGTCTTCCCCCCTTCTCATCTGGGCTCTTCCTCCTCCTCCTCTCGGTTTAAGCACCACCAAATGGAGAGAAGGAGGAGGAAGACCCTGGAGGAGAAGGGGGGGGGAGACCTCGCTGCTGCTGCTGCTGCTCCTGCTCTGTGCCACCCTCTTGTCGCCCCCTTCGAGGCAAGGCCTCGAAGGGGGCGAGAAAAGGAGGGTGGCCCAGAGCAGCAAAAGCAAGGTCTTCCCCCCTTGTCCTTCTCCTCTGGGCTCTTCCTCCTCCTCCTCTCGGTTTGAGCACCTCCAAATGGAGAGGAGGAGGAGGAAGACCCTGGAGGAGAAGGGGGGGAAGACCTCGCTGGTGCTGCTGCTCTGTGCCACCCTCTTCTCGCCCCCTTTGAGGCCTCACCTCGAAGGGGCCGAGAAGAGGAGCCCAGAGCAGCAGCAGCGGGGTCTTCCCCCCTTCTCCTCTGGGCTCTTCCTCCTCCTCCTCTCGGTTTCAGCACCACCAAATGGAGAGGAGGAGGAGGAAGACCCTGGAGGCGAGGGGGGGGGGGGAGAGACCTCGCTGCTCGCTGCTGCTGCTCCTGCTCTGTGCCACCCTCCTCTTCTCGCCCCCTTCGAGGCCTTGCCTTGCCTCGACGGGAGCAAGAAGAGGGTGCACAGAGCAGCAGCAGCGGGGTCTTCCCCCTCTCATCTGGGCTCTTCTCCTCCTCCTCTCCATTTGGAAGTGCCCAAATGGAGAGAAGGAGGAGGAAGACCCTGGAGGAGAGGGGGGGGAGACCTCGCTGCTGTCTGCTCTGTGCCACCCTCCTCTTCTCGCCCCCTTCGAGGCCTTGCCTTGCCTCGAAGGGGGCGAGAAAAGGAGGGTGGCCCAGAGCAGCAAAAGCAAGGTCTTCCCCCCTTGTCCTTCTCCTCTGGGCTCTTCCTCCTCCTCCTCTCGGTTTGAGCACCTCCAAATGGAGAGGAGGAGGAGGAAGACCCTGGAGGAGAGGGGGGGGGGAAGACCTCGCTGCTGCTGCTCCTGCTCTGTGCCACCCTCCTCTTCTCGCCCCCTTCGAGGCCTTGCCTTGCCTCGACGGGGGCAAGAAGAGGGTGGCCCAGAGCAGCAGCAGCGGGGTCTTCCCCCCTTCTCCTCTGGGCTCTTCCTCCTCCTCCTCTCGGTTTAAGCACCACCAAATGGAGAGGAGGAGGAGGAAGACCCTGGAGGCGAGGGGGGGGGGGGGGGGGGGAGACCTCGCTGCTGCTGCTCCTGCTCTGTGCCACCCTCCTCTTCTCGCCCCCTTCGAGGCCTTGCCTTGCCTCGACGGGGGCAAGAAGAGGGTGGCCCAGAGCAGCAGCAGCGGGGTCTTCCCCCCTTCTCCTCTGGGCTCTTCCTCCTCCTCCTCTCGGTTTAAGCACCACCAAATGGAGAGGAGGAGGAAGACCCTGGAGGAGAGGTGGGGGGAGACCTCGCTGCTGCTGCTGCTGCTCCTGCTCTGTGCCACCCTCTTGTCGCCCCCTTCGAGGCCTTGCCTTGGCAAGAAGAGGGTGGCCCAGAGCAGCAGCAGCGGGGTCTTCCCCCCTTCTCCTCTGGGCTCTTCCTCCTCCTCCTCCTCTCGGTTTAAGCACTTCCAAATGGAGAGAGAGAGAGCAGGACGTCTTTTCCCTTCTCCGAGGTGGAAAGAGTTCCGCTCAGGAAAGTTAACGAGGGCTATTTTCTGCTCGCTGGCCATTGACAACTCCGCGCAGGGAAGAGTCAACCTCCTCCTCCGGCTCTCAATCGACATGTCAATATAGCAGCCGTCGCGGCTCTTCTCCGGAGCTTCTGATTGGCCGCAGATGACATCATTCCCTCCGCGGCGGAGGGCGACCCAAGCCGTCCCTTCAGCGGCCAAAAGGAGAAGGCCCCGCCCCTTCGCCCTCTCTCCGCCAATCGGCGTCCTCCCCGCGCGGGGGGCCCGAGCGGCCTCCGAATGCCAGCCCTGATTGGCCTGACGCGCCGCCTGTCCCTCCTCTCGCCCTGCCCCTTTCCCCAACCTTACATTTACAGTGGTGGCAAAAAAGAGAAAGTATGTTGCAGCGGGAGATCAATGAAGGCGAGTGAATGGGGGGCTGGATGCGTAAATCGATAGCCGTCGCCGAGCGCCAGGTGCGGAAGGGAGAGCTTCCTTTATGAAGTAAGTGGGGCAACTTTGGGGCTCCTTAGAATAGGTATTTCAATAGAGCCAATTTACTGCTGCGTCCTTCTTTCTCTGGGTGCATCTACACTGGAGAACTAACGCAGTTTGGGATCATTGGGGGTGTAAACAAGCTCTTTAGTCCTCACTGCCAAAAGTATTCAACTACAAACCCCAGGATTCCATAGCATGGAGTCATTGCAGTTAAAGCAGTATCTAACTGCCTTAATTCTGCGGTGTAGATGCACCTCCAAGTCTAAACTCGCGCCTATTTCTCTTTTCTTGATTTTTCCCTCCCTTGTTCAGAATTGCTGCAGTATTTGAGGAGGAGGAGGAAGGCAAACGGGGTTTGGAGGATCAGCATCCCTTCCTTGTGTGTGTATATATTTGTTATATATCTCCCCAATATATATATACACACACAAGGAAGGGTTATCTATAGATCCTGCTTTTCCAGGTCTGAAAAGCTCCTTGCCCTTTTTGGTCAAGATCCCCAACAGGCTGTGAAGCCAGAAAAGGCTGACCTTATTGTTGTTGTTGGCTGGGATCCTTTGAAAAACAAGCCCAACATAAACAAGCAACTCCTGACTTCATGGCTTGGCTGGAAAGATATGCCCGGTGCTGCTGCTGCTTCTGCAGAGATGCAGATCTCCCCAAATATCCTTTGCTTGCCTGAATGGTTGATCTTATCCGGCCTCCAGACAGGCTTGGTAGGAGGTTTGAGCAAGGTCTCTGGTCTTCCTGGTGCCACACGTGATTGAGTTACAAAAGTAACTGCTCTTCGCTGCGTTAATTTCAAGGAAGGTTTTTGTACTATTCCATTCCATCCTCCTTCCTCTTAGCTTTTATATCCCTCCTTCTGTTTTGTTTTGGTTTTTGAGGTTCCTCTGTGTATGTGTCACAGAAAGAGGGAACTGGGAGAGATTTGCCATTCTCTCAAAACAGAATCATAGAGTTGGAAGAGACCTCGTGGGCCATCCAGTCCAACCCCCTATCAAGAAGCAGGAAAATCACATTCAAAGCACCCCTGACAGATGGCTATCCAGCCTCTGTTTAAAAGTCTCCAAAGTAGGAGCCTCCAACACACTCCGGGGCAGAGAGTTCCACTGCTGAACAGCTTTCACAGTCAGGAAGTTCTTCCTAATATTCAGATGGAATCTCCTTTCTAGTAGTTTGAAGGCATTGTTCCATGTCCTAGTCCAGTGGTTCTCAACCTGTGGGTTCCCAGATGTTTTGGCCTCCAACTCCCAGAAATCCTGGTAAACTGGCTGGGATTTCTGAGAGTTGCAGGCCAAAATAGCTGGGGACCCACAGGTTGAGAACCACTGTCCTAGTCTCTAGGGCAGCAGAAAACAATTCTGCTCTCTCCTCCCTATGACTTCCCCTGACATATTTATACATGGCCAACATGTCTCCTCTCAGCCTTCTCTTCTGCAGGCTAAACATGCCCAGCTCTTTAAGCCACTCCTCATAGGGCTTGTTCTCCAGACCCTTGATCATTTTAGTCGCCCTCCTCTGGACACATTCCAGCCTGTCAACATAAGTAGAAATAACTCATAAATGGAGCAGAACTCATTTTCTGTGTTGCAGGGTCCCTTACCTCGTATGAAACTGTGAGGCAGTTTCTCCCCAAATGGGTCAGAACTATTATTCTACATTGCCAGCCCAAATGTATAATGATGATGTTCAACCTATATATGCTCCTAATTACAAAAGCATTGGTGATCCCTGCTTGTTGTCTTCTGATAATGTTCCATCTTAAAAGATTGGAAACAAGATATGTTTGTTTCCAGAGATATATAAACCCAATTTTTCTAGTTTCCAACAGACCTTACAACCTCTGAGGGTGCCTGTCATAGATGCAGGCAAAACATCAGGAGAGAATGCTTCTGGGAACATAGCCATACAGCCCAGAAAACTCACAACAACCCAGTGATTCCGGCCATGAAAGCCTTCAACAATATAAGATTTGCTTGTATTTGCCTTCAAATTGCCTTTCAACTCATGGCAATCCCATGCATTCATTAGGTTTTCTTAGGCAAGGAATACTCTGAGGTTCTTTTACCAGTTCCTTGTCGAATTATTGAAAAGTACAATATCAGAAGGGATTCACATCCCTTTAAAACACAGAGGGTTTGGATCACTTTAAAAAATCACATTCTTTTTAATTAGGTTGAGCTTCTTATGTTATGAATGGGGACCTCACACGTTCCGATGGGAGAAGCAATAACAACTCTGCTTTAATTTTCTATGCTATCTGGTAGTCGATCCTGCTTCAAGCCAAGCAAGCTTATTCAAACATAAGTTCCTTTCAGTTCAGTGAAAATGTCATTTTGGATCATTTGTTTAGTATATCAACCTTAAGATATCGAGAGGATGATGTAATGCCTTTTTTGGAAAAAAAAATAGTCATTTGACTGACCTCAATTGGACTATGCCAAATGTCAATTTAATGTTATAGCACTAAATGCTGCCATAAACAAATACCTTTCATAGTGAATGGGTGGAAAGGGAGAGCTTCTAACCATAGAAGGGATCTCAGATTTTTGGTGGGGAGAATATTCTCTTGCTGCCTACCACATGTAAGGTGTGAGCAACAAGAAAGTAAAAAGTAGGATTTTTCTTAACACTTGGATCTTCCTGAGCTGTCAGTGTTGGATGGTGGTGTTAGCATCTAAAGAAAGTGCCGTTCTAAAATAACCCTTCTGCTCAGGAGGGATGCAAGGCATCATCTGTTTCTTATCCCCTTGTTCTTTTCAGTTTGTGTTTAGTGGAGATCTTTTTGAGGATGTTTATAATATTATTTTTTTACTGCATTTGTATCCTGCCCTTCTCACCCCGAAGGGAACTCAGGGCGACTCACAACAAATACCAAAACAAAACAATCAGTTTTTTAAAATGGCTTGCTAGGGGGAAAGTTATAACATACTCCCTGTCCAGAACATTAGGAAGAACTTCCTCACTGTGAGAGCTGTTCAGCAGTGGAACTCTCTGCCCCCGAGTGTGGTGGAGGCTCTTTCTTTGGAGGCTTTTATACAGAGGCTGGATGGCCATCTGTCGGGGGTGCTTTGAATGCAATTTCCCTGCTTCTTGGCAGGGGTTTGGACAGGATGGCCCATGAGGTCTCTTCCAACTCTATGATTCTATGTAGTGCCCTGCGTTGTTAGCAACAAACTGGTAGTTTTAGAGCCATCATTTGCAGAAGGCAGTAAAATACTCAGGGGAAATATCTTTTGTATGATGGAATTCATTCTCTTAGAGTGCAAGCAAACTGATCTTTTTTGCTGGGATTGTTTGATGCTATCTGTTCTGCAGGCTCTTTCCATGTTTCCCCTACTACCATGTGGATTAATTAGGTTATTCTTCTCAGGCCTATACATTAAAAAGAAAACCCAGATGACTGAAACTGCAAATAATGAATTCTGCAATGTGTATAGATTATGTGAATTAAATCTGCATAATCTCTCCTCTTTTGCATAGCTTGTTACATAATGTTTACTATTTTGCAACTTTTTTCCTGTTGGAAGGGGAGGGCAAGAAGCTATCCAGGTCACTGAAGCCCTCCACTCTGGAGAAAGCTTATTCAGCGGCTCTTATGGCTTTTGAGACTTCACAGTGCATTGCTCACTTATACTCAAGCATAACTTTGCTGTTGCAAGAACTACAAAGCTTCTCTTTTCACTTCAATGCAAGCTGTGATACTTAAGCAGTGGAATTTGCACAAAAGTATATGCTTTCCCTGTGCATCACATTCCCTGTTGTAGTTTACCTTAGTGGGGAAGTTGAAATGGGTGAACTTCTCACACATTTTTGTGGTTAGTATTCTATGATCTGTTTTTAGAAAGTGGCACAGATATAACACTCCTGTTCTAGGCCAAGGAACAATAGATAGTCAAAATTCCTCCATTTCAGTTGGTGTTATGCAAAAAGAGCTCTTGGATTAACTGTGTTGGGAAAGATTGGGAGAATCCGTGGCCTTCCAGATATTGATCAGTGATACCCTCATAATCCCTGATTTCTGCCAAGCTATCTGGGGCTTGGTGCAATTCAACAACATCTGGAGGGCCATGTTTTTCCCCATCTTAATGCTATCCAGGTTTAAGGCTGAAATCTATACATCATGAAATACCTATTATTCTTGTGGTGGTTCTGATGGCTGTTTTTCCTTTTCAACAGAGAGAGATTGAGTTTCTTTTGACTTGCCATTCTCAGCCTCCTCATGCCTCCATCTCCACTAGACGACAGGGTAGTAGTGGCACTCTCCAGGCCTGTAAGACCTCAGGATCTCAACCTTTCCTTAGACTCCAGCTACCTTGAACCCGCCTCTTCCACCAGCGAGAGCCACGTGAGTCTCCTTAGCACCGCTGTCGTGTCCCTCAAGGCTGCTAATCTCACGTATATGCCCTCATCCAACGGCTCTGCTCGCTCCCTGAGTTGTGGATGCAGCAGCGCCAGTTGCTGCACTGTGGCAACGTACGACAAGGACAATCAGGCCCAAACACAAGCCAGCACCAGCAGCACTTCTGCCAACGTAGGAACCTCGACCACGTGCCCTGCGAACCAAATGGTCAACAACAATGAGAACTCTGGCACTTTGAGTCCCTCGACTGGAGTAGGGAGCCCTGTCTCAGGCCCAACAAAACCCTTGGCTAGCATCAAAATCATCTACCCCAATGACCTGGCTAAAAAAATGACCAAATGTACCAAAAGCCATCAAGGGCCTGTGATCATTGATTGTCGGCCTTTCATGGAATACAACAAGAGCCACATTCAGGGAGCTGTTCACATCAATTGCTCTGATAAGATCAGCCGGAGGAGGCTTCAGCAGGGCAAGATCACTGTCTTGGACTTGATCTCTTGCCGAGAAGGCAAGGACTCCTTCAAGAGGATCTTTTCCAAAGAAATAGTTGTTTATGATGAGAATACCAATGAGCCAAGCAGAGTAATACCTTCGCAGCCATTGCACATAGTGCTGGAGTCTCTTAAGCGAGAAGGCAAGGAACCTTTGGTTCTAAAAGGTATTTATAACCTTTTTTCTGCTACTTTCCCTGATCTTTGTAGTGTTATGAAGGCTTGTTTTATCATGCCAACAAAAGGTCAATACTTTAGAGATGGTTATATCACTTCATAAACAGAGGAGAGAATATATAAAGGAGAATGAGATTTTGATGTTTCTTTTTAGTTTATTTAATGATAATGTAGTTGAGTTTAACACAGTGTTGTTCCTTTGGACTAATAAGCTTTCATAAGATGGCAAGTATGCTTTTGATTTTCATAGAACTTTTCTCTGGATGGATTGTTAGCATATAATGTCTGGATCTTGCGGTGGTAATAGGCTTCTTGTTTCAAAATATTGTGATTTACATAGATATCGTATTTGACAGAAACGATTGAATAATTTCCATGTTGAGAAATAAAATAGAAAAAAAAACATGATAATTTAGAATCCTTGGCAGTAAGCAATAACTTGAAATCTCTTGTAAGTCAAGTGGAAAACTGTATGGTAACCCTGATATTTGCAGTGCCAGAAATCGATTTGAGAATGTGCCCAAGGTCCAAAATCAATAGAAGTCAACTAAGGTAATGCTAATATACCAAGAGGCATGGGCATCTCTGAGGGAAGGGGATTCGGTCACACAATTGTTTTGCGAGGAACTAGGCTGCTCCATCCTAACTCTGTTTGCAGCCAATAACAGAAGTCAAGCCATAACTATGATTGGCACATTTGTTTTTTTGTAGAAGGAACTTCCTGGTTCATTTTAAGCTTTTGTTTTATTTTCCCTGGTTAGGAGTGGCTCACAGAGTACAATTCAGAAATCCAAAATTTTGTATAGATATGGCTAGCCATGTTGTACAAAAATTTGCTTTTACATTTTTTTTAAAAAAATCCAGCACAGCTAACAACCAGGAAGGCTGTTCAATTTAGTATCAAATATTCAATTCTTTTTTTCCTACTCTACTTGATGAATGTTCTTAAAATTATCCTGCTAGTGTAGTTAGTCCACTGTGATGGGTATGTATATGGGTGGGGCCAGCTGTGGTTGAGCGAACATTGGTTATGCAAGTGCTGCAAACCTCTGTTGAACCTAGTATGGTTACATCGATTTGTTTGAAGGTGGGATGTTATAGTGGGTGACACCTCTTTAGTGCAGTCTAATGTGGTTGAATTTCCTGGTTTGTTAGAGATATGGTGTCTGTCAGTGTTGACTGTAATAACAATGAAACTGATTTAATATTGGGGCAGCACAGGGTTTTGCTGATCTGCTACCTAGAACTGATAGTAGCAATATTCTATGTATTTTAATGAGACCTGATATTTATCAATGGATTGTTGTGTAATAAATAAAATTCAATTAATCTAGATTAAGATCTGTTGGTAGGAAAGGTGAATAAACACATTTCATGTGTCATTTTAGGTTGTTGTTTCTTTTGATCAGGTAACTATCTAGTAGAATATAATGAATGTACAGGGTTGAATGGTTGGGGAAAGAACAATAGTTCAAGGCTACACCACATTTTAAGTAATCAGAGTGTCCAGAGTTCACTTTTTGGCACCCTAGAAAGATACTGGAGATTAGGGGGCACCATTCTCTGAAGCCAAAATTGGCCAGTGTAGACCATGTATTGAGTTGGATGGAGTAATGGCCTGACTCAGTTTAAAGCAGGTTCCTGTGTTCCTGTAATATAGAAGTATGAGCAAGGGTTAATCAAAGGTTGAAAATCTGATATATCACCTCTTTCTGAAGGGCAAGGATAAGCAAGATAATGACCATTAGAAGGTTTTAGTTAGTCTCCCCCAGGGATGTAATAAATAAGAATTCTGCCCCCTTAACATTTTACTCCAGTGCCCAAATTTCTAGCCATTGCAATAACTTAAAACTTTAGTGAAATATTTAGAATTAATTTTAAAAACCTAAAGAAATGAGGGAAACAGAGTTACGAAAATAATGGGAACACAGCAAATATTTGGAAGTGAAGGACAATTTCATTGACAGACCAAATTCTTGCTTGTGGGTAAAAGCCTCCCAATCCCAATACCTACACAGCCAGATTTTCCCAAACATCAGTCTATATTATTATTTTAAGAATTATGTGTAGTCCAAGAGATAGGGTGGGCACGTGGTTGGCTACTGTTGCCTTAAGGAGAAGTAGTAAAGCACATGTTGTAACTTAGAGATCCCAGTTTCACATCTAGGTTAAGGTTATTGAGTAGCAGGGCTGAAGAAGATATGACCTAAACTCTGGAGAACTGCTCCTAGCTGAAGTTCATTTTCAGTACCCATAAGCTACTTCCTAAAACCATGTCCTTACAAAGCAGTGTAGAGAAGATTATGATACAATAGGTGATGATTACCAAGATGAAACCTACTTTGAATTTCACAAACCTTTCACATTATCAAGGAAAATCTCCAGGGATAATATCAAAGACCTGTACTGAAGCAAGTAAGCTCAAAGGAGCCAGTAGGGAATTTGTATAGCTGGGGATCACCACCATGAAAATCCAGCACTTAGTAGCCTCATCATTTTAATAGTGGGCTCCAAAGCAGGACAGCTGAATGTATGACCAGAACTAGATAATTAATGGTGGTCTTTGTTAGATAACTGTGGTCTGTCTTTGTGAAAAACCACCTTCTATGATATTTCCCCATGTTTTTATATAGTACTTGGAGGACATTCCCATCATTATTTGATGTGGAATGGTTTATTTATCTCAAGGTATAGATTTAGTGTAAAACTGTTAAATTGAGTTTTTAATATTCATCATCGTATATCCAATTATCTGACAGTCAATCTCATTGTCTCTGACTTCTGAAAAGACACATAGGATTGTACTGGTGCCCCCCCCCCCCCAGCTCTCTGAAGACTTTACATATATCCGTGTCCTCTAGCTTATTTGTCTCCTCAATACTTCTCTTGTAATTGTAACAAACCTCTATAGTGGAGAAAGTTGGATATTACTAGAAACTCCACATGCAATTAAGGACTCTGGGTAATCAAGGTTCATGATTACACATGAGCTGAGTTTGGAAAATAACTAAGTTGGATGACAACTCCTAGGCTCTTCCAGCTAGCATGGCAGCTGATGCTGTTGGCTGAGAGATTCTGGGAGTTATAGTGAAAATTTTCCAGATGCTGCACTGGAGCTTCCATGGATTCATATGTTCTGTCTCTCATGATTGGTTGGGAGGGGCTGTGCACTCCTCATGCACTAAACTTGTGGCTGAGTAACCTTCCTGTTGTTTGTTTCCACGAGTAACCTTTGAGCAGAGTTCAATGTTATGTAGGGCTCTAAACTTACATCTCCAGTCTCTAGGGTTGTCAGGTTAAGCCTATTCCAGGACCAGAGGTATCAGAACCCAAAACAAAGATCTAGGGATGACACCTTGTGAAGCCTCAGAAGTCTGACTTTTTCTGATGATGTTAAGCATCGACCATGGTTAGTCAGAGTATGCAATTTAAATTAAAAAAAACACCACCAAGTTTAACCAATGAAGCCAACACACACACACTTCAAGGCAGTGCTCTCACTCTGGGATAACTTCTCAACTACTCTAAGGACAAGAGAACAACTACTCTAAGGACAAGAGAAGAAGGACCAGGCCCATGAATTGGGAAAGGCTCTCAGATCTCTAAAGTCTTCTTTCTTCATGAACACAACATTTTCATTTTCAGGATGAGGACACAATGTGACACAAAATCCCAAAGAAACTTTATTTTGTGTTTAGTTCTTCTTAGCTTTGCCATTGGAATTGCTACCATTTTTACCTAGTGCTTTTGTGCATAAACCACCATCAAAACACTGTCTTTGATCAAGATTCTCCTTTCTCCTCAACTACTTGGGTTTTTTAAGGGTTTTTTAAAAAAAATATCCATCTGCAAGAGGTGATTAAAAGTATGAGATGGGATTCCTATAAATTATGGGATGGAGAAGCAGAGGAGTGCTGAATAAAATCCACAACCCTCTTCACTTTAGGTTGATTTTGACTTTAAAGGCCCTACATCTATAGTTTTCTGAAAAACAATTGCTAGGGAGGCTACCAAAGAAAATAAAAATGTCCCTCTATTTCAAACACTCCATAAAACATTGTTTAATGTTCATCTCTGTCTTTCTATACAGTCCGTGGCATGTATTTACTTTTTGTAGCTTTCTCTGCACTGACTTCTGAAATAGAACATGGAAACTGACCATAAGAGGAAGTGTTGAAAGTGGGAATGTAAAAAAAAAAACAAACAAAACCAAACAAACTAGTGGGATAGCCTTGTTTCAAAGCAAGCCAGACCGCTTTGCAACGGTGGACAAACAATGGACCACAAGTTGCATGTAGCTCCCCATAACTGTTTTTGTACCCTAAAGGGTCTCTGCCTCTGGTTTTTTATTTTTTGGGCCTAAAATGAGAAATAACACCCCATATCCTTATGTGGTGTGTGTTGAATTTTGTTGCATCCTCCCCAACTGTTTTATACCAGGATTATTTTTTTAACCAAACTATAAGTGATATCTAGTCACTTCCAGAATACACAAGGAGCCTTTCTAAGGAACACTTTTGAGGAGTGTCAGTGTTTCCTGAGATGGAAAGTAAAATGATCTCAGAGATTCAATTGGCATTGTGACCTCTGGAAGTTGCCCCTTTGTGTTTCATATTATATCTTTTCACACTTCAAGCACTGATGAAAAATGTGTTTGAGGGGTCTGGTGTGCTTGGAAAAGCTGCTGTTTTTAACTCCAGCTCCTCAAATACCCCAACCGGCATAGCTATGGGATTCTAGAAGTCGTGTTTCTGAAAGAAACTTTCCCAAGCTTTGCTTGCTTGCTTGCTTTCCTTTCTTCCTTCCCTCCCTCATACCACACATGTTGCGTATTATGTAAGAATATTAAATAAACTGTTTCATCTCACTTTGGACATGGTTTGTTGCCTTCCAGATCTTCTCATTTATTCAGAAGAATTTACTGTGTGGGGTTTGGGGAGAGAAAAGGAAGCTGTGCATGGGCATTTTTGGTCCCCTGGGTAAACATCTA